GCATCTAACAACAATAACTAATTTTAAATATGACAGATTAGATTTTATAGATAATTGATTGAATGGCTGTAAACTATATCTAAGGTCATTTTTCAGCTGATTGGATACTATAGATTTTTTTGTGTTGTGAATCGAGACTTAAAAGATTGGTTCATATTAGAGCTAGTCTGTATAGTACTATGTCATTCATTAGCCATATACTTTTAAGGGGTGGGGATTTGGTTCACTTAGCTCATTTATTCTGACTTGTCCTCCTAAGAGCTTCAGTACTGTCGGTAGGGGCCAGACACTTGGGGTATGGCTAGATCTAGGCAGTCTTTAGAAATGTATCATGTTATAGACTGATTAACTCTTGAAATTCTACTTTCATTGACTGAAATTTTAATGCTGTAAAAATTCTGAATTGATGGAGTCTGAAAAGAGATATTTGTGAAAATATAGCAAACCAAACAAAAACATCTCATTTTTTACTTTGGTAATGATTCAAAGGTATTTATAGTTTAAATAGTGATGAATTGCCTTTGAATTTTTGTAAAATGACATTTTGCAGCAAAACCCCACCATATTTCTTGAGAAGATGTATAATATACAGATAGTGAAACTAAGATCATCACTGACCCATCTCAGATATGCCGTAACTCTTTTATGGCTTGTATTTATTAATTTTTTTAAAGCTGTAAAGAAACTACAATAAAATAGGAAGGAATTTCACAAATATTGTGGGAAAATGTTACATTGTGGGGATTGCAATCAATGACTTGAAACAAAATGTGTGTGAATTGTTGAATGGAAAACTGATCTGCCCTGTAAACAAACCTTCACCCAGTTCACACAAGAAAAGATTAAAAAAAAAAAAAAAATCATTAATAAATAGAGTTAAAACATAATGGGATTTTCTCATGAACTTTTTGAAGTTTCCTTGTATTTATTCACAGAATTTTCTACAGTAATGACATTATACTGTACATGTTGTTTTATAAACTATTTCTATTTAATATGAGATGGCTTCAAAAAGATTGTGGATTTTCCACAATCTTTTAATTCCTTGTTTCCATGAACTTTTTAAAGCCCCCTCCTATATAAAACAAAAACAACCCCATTGTCATCATGTTGGTTCTGAATCATAGGATAGGAACAGAGTAAAACTACCCCATAGTGTTTCCAGGACTGTGAACTTTATAGAAGCAGACTGCCACACTTTCTCCCATAGGGCAGCTGCTTGGTTTAAACTGCCAACCTTTTGATTAGTATCTCAGCACTTAACCATTTCTCTATGTTGTTAAGGGCTGTTGAGTCAGTTCTGACTCATAGCAACCCTATGTAGGGTTTCCAAGGAGTGACTGGTGCATTTTAACCACTAACGTTGTGGTTAGCCAGTGCTGATCCTATTGCACCACACCAGGACTCCACAATGTTGTTGTTATGTACCGTGGAGTTGGTTCTGACTCATAGTAACCCTGTACAGGGTTTCCGAAGCTGTAAATCTTTATGGGAGCAGAAAGCCTCATCTTTCTCCCGCAGATCAGCTGGTAGTTTCGAACTGCTGACGGTGAGATTAGCAGCCCGATTTGTAACTACTACGTTACCAGAGCTGCACAATGTTGTTGTTGTGAAGTGCCATCGAGTCGGTTCCGACCCATGTTATTGTTATGTGCCGTGGAGTCAGTTCCGACTCATAGCGACCCTGTACAGGGTTTCCCAGGCTGTAAATCTTTATGGGAGCAGGAAGCCTCATCTTTCTCCCGTGGAAGAGCTGGTAGTTTCGAACTGCTGACCTTGCGGTTCGCAGCCAGATTCATAACCACTATGCTACCAGAGCTCCTGTTATGTCCCGTGGAATCGGTTCCGACCCATAGCGACCCTGTATAGGGTTTCCGTGGAGCAGCTGGTGAACTTGAACTGCCAATCTTGTATTTCAAACGATTTTGCAGTCTGGCGCATTAACCCACAGCACTACACCAGGACTCCAGAGCTCCACAATAAGGGCCCCTTATTTAATGAACTCATACAAAGTCCTGTTTTGGTGCAGCAGGATAATGCACTGGACTGCAAGGTCAGTTTGAACTTCAAGGTCAGTGGTTCAAACCCACCAGATGATCCTTGGAAACCCTATACACGGTAACTATAGGTTGGAAACGACTCAATAGCACTTAACAACAACAGTTTTAGTATTTTTCTACAACACAATTTTAAGATGTAAAATCTTCTATCTTGTGAAAGTGTCACGAATCTCTTTTTGTTATGTTTTTAAAAATGTTTTATTGTGAATTATGTGATGACAGTTTACATGGGAGAACATTAGCTTTACATTCCTCCTGTCGTAACTCATTACATTGCCATGGTTACAATCCCCTCCATGCATCATTAACCAACCAAATGATATACCCCACTACCCCCCATTCGTCAGCACACAGCCCCTCTCCCTCTCTGGCTCTAAAGTCTCCAGCTGCTCCATCTCTCCACGTCATCATCTCTGTCTCCATCTCTGGCATCACTGTTTCTCTGGGTAGGGTCCCGCATTCCGTTCTTTTCCTTTGATGGTCCCAGGGCCCTCCACTCCTAGACTGCAAAGTCAACCACTCCCCTCCTTTTGCTACAAAATGTCTACCTTTACATTTCTATCTGTCACAGTCAGTCCTGATGGTAATTATTCACTATTGTACCATATGAGTGCTAGCCCCATCTCCTTTCATCAGCCCCGCCCAGACAGATTGGATACTACTCAGTGGAGATTCTACCTTCCTCCGTGCTCTCTGGATATAGGCTCCCTCTTGAAAGCTTGTAAGCTAGTCACTTCTTGCTTTTGTAGCACCCCTCTCCCCCCATTTTGGGTATTCAATGTCCAAGTTGCCCATCCCTGTCTACCCTGTTGTATTGAGGGGGTGGGAATGATCCTCGCTGTAAAGATTTGTTCCCTCTTTTGAGCTACTGCATCCATAAGTGTAGGTCAAATCCATCAAATTGTATCAGATTACTCCTTTTTTTCTCTTCTTTCTTCTTTTAGTTGAGCTCTTGATCATCTAGCCATTGAAGCCAGGTCAAGTGGATATTATTATCTGCAAGTGTGGGTGTGCTTGTGCATATGACCTCTCTTCTTAACAGCTGGATGCTTCATTCTCCATTCTAGCCCTCTGTGGCTATGTCACTGACTCAGGTTCCAGGAGTCCCCAGATCTTGGCAAACTGTTGGCCAACCAGATCTCCACCGGGTTCACAGGAGTGTATTGAATATGGTTGGACTTAGCTCACAGCTTCATTGCTGTTTTTACCTCACTTCCCCTTATCGGTGACCAATGTGGTCACCAGTCAGAGCATGTGTCAGCTCGTGTATTCCCATTGAGTCTTGTCTTGGAAGAGTGTCATAATTTTTTAATGAATCCTCCTTGAGGATATTTTATACTCTTTTCTATTCTAAATATGAATGCAACAGTGAACAGTCTCTTAGCTAATTTCAGTGTACTTCCATGGAATAATTTCCCTGAAGTAGAATTATTTGGGATAAGAGGTTTATAAAATTTCAAGACTGCTTTGTTGTTGCCTAATTGCCATTTGGAAATGTTGACCCAATTTATACTTTATCTAGTCTTAGAATATGTGAACAAGCTCAAATATATAACCATTTTTACTTTTTTCCCTCAATCCTTTTGAAATGCCAGAATTTACAGAATACCTGACCTCTCTCAGTGCCTTACTCCCTGAAAAACCTTAAGACATGATTGATTGTCTTACCAGCTCTATCTTGTGTTTTATAGTATTTGTTAGGCAGAAGAGCTCACTAAATGTGTATTCTTACATAAATATATGTCTAAGTTTTATTTATTTTTCTTTTTTAAAATTAAGGTATGACTGACATGAAAAAATAAAATTGCCATTTTAAGTGTATATCTTGTTGAATTTTGATAATTGTATGCAAATGTGTTAACAGCAACACCGTCAACATATAGAACAGTTCTCACACTCTAAAGACTCCCTCATAGCCCCTCATGCTTGATCTCTCCCATATTTACCCCTCCTACTGTAGGCTGTTTTCTATCATTATTGTTTTGCCTTTTCTCTAGAATTTCATATAATTAGAATCATAAAACGTGATTTTTTGTGTATGACTTATTTTGGTTAGCATGTTTTTGAGGGTCATTCATTTTGTATGATGTGTTATTTCATTCCTTTTTATTATAAGTAATACTAGAGGGCTTCAAAAGTGCATAGAAAAATGGTATTAAAAGATAATGGAATTTTTCCATGAACTTTATTAAAGGCTCCCTCATATTCTGTAGCATAGATATATTAAAAAAATTTTATTCATTCTTGCCAGTTTTATCATAGCCTCACTAACACTTGTTTTTATCAATCTTTATAACTTTAGCCACTCTTTTAGGTACATGGTGATATTTCATTACGGCTTTAATGTACATTTCTCTGATAATTAATGATACTGCAAAGTGTGGATTATAGTATCTGTTTTATAAATGCTAGTGTATTTGAGGAGTCCTGGTGTGGCACTGTAGGCTAATGTGCTGGATTGCCAAGTTGGTTTGAATCACAAGGTCGCTGGTTCAGGGTCCTTGGAAACATCATATAGGGTTGCTGTGTGTCGGTACCAACTCCACGGCGCTTAACAACAACTTAACAAGTTTATTTTGAAATAGTAAGAAGTGTAATGAGTTATTCCTACTTCATGAGAACTGAAGTGGGCTTTGTAGACATAATGTCCAAAAGATTTCTATATAATTGAGGACTCAACATGTCATGATTTTAGTAGCTTGATGATAAATAGTTGAATTCAGGTTTTTGTATAGATTATGCGTATTCTATATCACTATTTACATAAGAAAGGCCTTCATTAAATGAGGAGACTTAAAGGCTAGTGTTTTGAGCTTTGCCATTTCTGAAATTATGGTCCTAGAGATTTTTTGTGTTATTAACTTGAATAATTAAAGATTTCAGTTAGTGATAAAAGAAATATAAACAAATGATGATTTCTTTCTTTTTGTTCTTCATTAGGACATTTTCATTCCAACTCCAAGTTTAGAAGAAGGTTCAAATGATGGAAAGAAAGGTGGAGACTTGCATAGTTCATCTTTGACTGTTGAGTGTTCTAAAACCTCCGCAATTGAACCAAAGAATTCTGCTGAGGAACTTGGGCTGTCTTTGACAGGGGAGTCTTGCAAGTTGATGCTTTCTGTAAGTGATTATAGTCAGTCTCCAAAGATGGAGAGCTTGACTTCTCACAAGATTGATGAAGATGGAGAAAACACACAGATTGAAGATACTGAGCCCATGTCTCCAGTTCTCAGTTCTAAAACTGTTCCCACTGAAAATGACAGTAACTTGATAAATCCAGCACAGGATAGCCAAGTAGAACTAGGCCATAATGATGACAAAACAAAGGGAGATGATACAGAGACCCGAGATGACATAAGTATTTTAGCTACTGGTTGCAAAGATAGGACAGAAACTGTAGCAGAAGACATTTGTATTGATCTCACTTGCGATTCAGGAAGTCAGGCAGTTCCATCTCCGGCTACTCGATCTGAGGCACTCTCTAGTGTGTTAGATCAAGAGGAAGCTATTGAAATTAAAGACCACCATCCGGAGGAGGGGTCTTCAGGGTCTGAGGTAGAAGAAATCCCCGAGACTCCTTGTGAAAGTCAAGGAGAAGAACCCAAAGAAGAAAATAAGGAAAGTACCCCATTTCACCTTTCTCTGACTGAAACTCAGTCCCAAGGGTTGGGTCTTCAAAATGAAATCTCAAAAGAAGAGTGTCAGGAAGCTATGGAAGTTGAAACCAGTGTAATTAGTATTGATTCTCCCCAGAAACTGCCAGTACTTGACCAAGAATTAGAACACAAGGATCAGGAAGCTTGGGAAGAAGCTACTTCAGAGGACTCAAGTGTTGTCATTGTAGACGTGAAGGATCCGTCTCCCAGAGTTGATGTTTCTTCTGAACCTTTGGAGGGAGTTGAAAAGTGCCCAGATTCCCAGTCTTGGGAGGATGCTGCTGCCGAAATAGAAGCAAGTGCTGAGACGAGACCAGATACCCAGGAAGAAAAAAGTGCAGAATGTGAAGAACATCTAAAATCAGTAATTGCAGAAAAGGAACCTGTAGAGGAAGACTCTCCACAATCCCCTTTGCCTTCAGTGAGAGCAGGTGATACTCCAAGACCTGAACTGGAATTGAAACAAACCCAATCTGAAGACTCAAAAATGGCTAATGCAAAGCAGTTGGGTTCTGTGGTAGAGGTCCAGCAGCCGGAGAAGACCTCTACCCAGGCTTCACAAAGCTTCTGTGAAAGCTCTAGTGGTGAGTGTATGATTATAAATTGTTGGTGCCTTTGACCAAATTACAATTCATAAGGGGATGCTGTCATTTCAGTATTGAACGTGAACTTGGGTTTATACTTATGAAGCAGCCAGTAATAATTGGGAATTAAAAAATTTCGAGTTACATTTTTCTCTTATAACTATAATTACTTGTGGGGTTAGAGATCATTTGAGATTTATCATCTTTATCATTCAGAAATAAGTAATCAGCATGAAATTTTTATTTAGAAGTTTGCGTCAATTTTCTAGTTAGATCCCAGTCTTGCTCTATGTTTTTATATTTTGACAGTTGCCTTGAAGCATAAGAATCTTTTTTTTAAGTCACACAATACAACCATATTAGAATTCTGTTAACAAATAATAGTATTGTATGTGGTTTTTATGGGCATTGAGTAAAGTTCTTAAGTATAAAACATATTCTTTTGTGTATTTTATGTATGTATTTATAAGTTCAGCATTAGGATACAGGTAACTTTCTAAAATATTTGGCACTGTGGGTTACGTGTTGGACTGCTAACCATAGGTGGGTGGTTCAAACACACCAGCTGCTCCATGGAAGAAAGGGGAGACTGTCTGCTCCCATACAAATTTATAGTCTTGGAAACCCTCTATAAGGATACTGAATCTAAATTGACTTAATGACGGTTATGAATTACATTAACTGAAATGAATACAAAATTCTGAATGCCCAGAGTTAGTACAATTTAACAAAAAACAAACCTCCTTAGCAAAACAAAAAATTAAAAACGTAATACAAACTTAAAGAAAGCAAACTATTAGAGATATGGGAGTAAGGAAATAATATCTGAGCTACATTCTATATATTAATATGGGTGGCTATACCTCCTGGTTTGCCTAAACAATCCCAGTTCATACCCTTTGTCAGTTGTGGTTATTAATGCAGTGAAACCTATGAGACCTGGAACTGCCTTAATTTTCTGGGTCTTGCAGTATTTCCACCTTTGACAGGTCTTCACTTTTCTCTTGCTTTCTATTGATAGAAAGTATTTGAGTTTTCCTTTTTTGACAGATTTCCATCTTACATAGATACTGGCTTTTTTTGTAAGTTATACTTTATACTTCTTTCAGATTTTATAGTAGTTTAAAAAAATATATTCTAATGAGAATTTTAGAGCTGAAAATGATGTTACGGATTATTGGGTTCAATAATCTTGTTTCTAAAGTCATATGCTTAAAGATTGAAATGGGACTAGAAAGTTTCCTGATTCCCAAGTGTATGCTTTTTCCTCCTATTGTTGTTAAGTGCCGTTGAGTGGATTCCAACCCATAGCAACCCTGTATGTCCAAGGAGCAGCTGGTGAGCTTGAACCACAAACCTTGCAGTTTAAACAATTTTGCAGTCTGACGCATTAGCCCATAGCGCCATACCAGGACTCCTTTTTTTTTTCTATGTTGTTGTTATGTGCCGTGGAGTCGGTTCCGACTCATAGCAACCCTGTACAGGGTTTCCAAGGCTGTAAACCTTTATGGGAGCGGAAAGCTTCATCTTTTTCCTGCGGAATAGCTGGTAGTTTCGAACTGCTGACCCTGAGGTTAGCAGCCCCATTCGTAACCACTACGATACCAGAGCTCCTTTTTACTCCTATTGTTGTTATTAAGTGCCGTCGAGTCGGTTCCAACCCATAGCGACCCTGTACAGGGTTTCTGAGGCTGTAAATCTTTACGGGAACAGAATGTCTCATCTTTTTCCTGCGGAGCGGCTGCTAGTTTCGAACTACCTTAAGGCCTTAAGGTTCGCAGCCCGATTCGTAACCACTACGCTACCAGAGCTCCTTTTTACTCCTGTAGAAGGATATAATTTAGTTGCTCTGATCTTAATGATAGGGTAGAGAGATATCCCAGTGACCTAAACTTTGGTATTACAGAATGTGTTTGTAATTTTATTACATTTAAATACTGTTATTGCACTAGACCAAGAAAGTATCAAGGCCTACCAGATCTACTAAGCAGATTGTTGTAATATGGCTATTTAACCTGTAATCCGTTGCAGTCAAGTCTGTTCTGACTCATTGCAATCACATGTGTTTCAAAATAGAATCGTGCTCCATGGGAATTTCAATAGACTTCTGCTGTGGTACTGTAGGATCAGCACTGGACTGTGAATCACTTGGTTGGCAATTCAAACCCACCAGCTGCTTCTCAGAAAACCTATATATGGACCACCATGAGTTGGAACTTGATGGCACTTAACAACAACAAACAATCCTATGCAAGTAGATTGCTAGGACTTTTCTGTGGCACCAGTGGATACATTTAAACCTCCTACCTTTCTCTGGAGCCCTGGTAGTGTACTGCTTACGGGTTAGGCTGCTAACTGTAAATCTGCCAGTTGCTCTGCAGGAGAAAGATGAGTTTTTCTGCTCCTGTGCAGATTTATTGCCGCTGTGAGTCTGAACTGACTCCATGGCACATCATCATCACCCCCACCTTTCTCTTAGTTGAGTGCACACTGTGCAAGCAGCTTATAAAATAAATATTGGTTTGTTAGTTCTAGTCTACTGTTAGAGTATCCTCCATGAATGTTTGTTTACAGTCTTAATTGGTAGAGCCAATAGATACTGCCATAGTACAACTTAGTCTACTATCTTTGTCTAGATTATTGAAAATACTAGTAAGTAATTGTCTGATTATTTGCTTCAAGATTTTAATTCTGGAGAACAACGAACAGCAGTGAAGAAAATGATTGGAAAATAGTATTTGTAAGAAATTAAAGACATTTAAAAAAGAAGTGATTGAGCATTAAAGGGGAGTTTCTTAATGTTAGAGAATTAATCTAAAGTAAATCATTGAGAAGAACATTGAAGGCAGAGTAGAAAAATTATGTTTAATATACAGTTTTTTAAAAAAAAAACTTTTATTGTGAATTGAATGAAGGCCTACAGATAAAATCTTCACTTTTACATTTCATAAATTATCCATTTTGTTTCAGCTCAGTGATTGTAATCCCCTCCACGAAACCACAGTTATCCCACTTTTTCTCTATGCTTCTTGTTTCTATTCCACTCCCACTCCCTTCCCTTCTTAACTTTGTCCTTAGGTAAATGTTGCCCTTTGGATTTTGAATGAACGTACCTTACTAGTGTTGTTTCCCCTGTGTACCTATGTACTGCTTGATTACAAATTGGGCCACGACAGGAGTTCTTTCCAGACTTGAAGGGTAGTCGAAGGCCAGTAAACCTAGTTTTTTTGTTTTGTTTTAAATAATTTTGAGTTTTGTTTCACATTTTCTCCCACTCTATCTAGAACCTTCTAATGTGATTCCTTTCAGAGTAGTTGGTAGTGATAACTGGGCACCATTTAGTTCTTCTGATCTCGGAGTATTGGAGACTGATTTTATACAGTTGTTTTAGTTGTTAAACTTTAAGAGAGACTCGATGGGTTCCAGGTGTAGCACTGTAGAATCAGCAGTGGACTGCAAACCACAAGGTCAGTAGTTCAAACCCACCAGCAGCTCCTTGGAAACCCATATGGCATTGCTATGAGTCAGAACCAACTCAGTCAATGGCATTTAATAACAACAAATGAGAGTCATATAAAAAAAAGTTAGAAGTGCACTCTTTTGTTGTTGTTAATAGTTTATAGATTAAAAAAAAAATGATAGATGCTTAATTGTGAAAAACATTTTCAAATAGTACAGAAAAGGAAGGTTGGGGGAGAGTGGAGGAAAATGGAGAGAAAAAAACCACTCCAATGTCTACATTGGACTAAATCACTGCTAACAGTTTGGAGACATCGTCATACATCTAGAAATTTGAAAAACACATTTAGAAAGATGATACTTGGAAGCCCAACCTTATTCAACATAGAACATATTTATGGTGAGTAGAAGATTTTAGAAGTCTTTAATTAAATACATAAATGGTAATTTGTAATATGTTTTATTGGTCAGGGGAGCTAGGTATATTTCAGGCTCTAACCCTAACATTTGAAGGTTTACTTTATGAAATGTTACCCTGATTGGCCATTAATGTCAAGACACAGAAACTTGGGTAGACAGTTCATGTACAGTGTTAACTCAATGTAAATATTTTTAGATTTTTAATTAGATGGCTGTTAATCAGTTGTACAAAGAGACCAGTTTTGTTTTTTTTAAATAACTTTTTATTGTGAATTAAGTAAAGGTTTACAGACAAGATCATCAATTTAATATTCAACAAATCATATTTTCTTTCATCTCAGTGATTGGAAATCCCCTCTATGCAGCAACAGTCATCCCACTTCTTCCCTCTGCTTCCTATTTCCAGTCCACCCCCCTTTCCTTCCCCTCTCAACTTGTTCTTAGTAAATTGTTGCCCTTTTGTTTTTTATTGATTGACCATTCCATGGTGAGTTTACCTTACTAGTGTTGTTGTGTCCTCTGGATACTTATCATACTGCTTGGCTGGAAATTGGGCCATGAGAGTGAGTTCCTTTCCAGACCTGAATGGGAGTTGAGCTCCATAGTTTTGGGTTCCTCTAGTCTCTTTCTGACCAGTAAGTCTGTTTTGTTTTTGTTTTTGTTTTTTAATAATTTTGAGTTTCCTTCTACATTTTCTGTCATTCTATCCCAGACCTTCTAATGTGATCCTTTTCACAACAGTTGGTAATGGTAACCAGGCACCATTTAGTTGTTCTGGTCTCTCAGAGTAATGGAGACTGAGGTTCACCTGTTCCATTAGTCAGTATCATTCTCCTGACCTCTTTTTCTGGTCCAGTGCCTCTTCTTCCTCAGAGGCATTTTCTAGCTCTGCCTCTTAAGTCATTTTTTTTTAGCTACTCTTGTCTTGTTTCTTCATGTGAACAGAAAATTTCTGCTGCTTTCTAAGCATTGTAGTGGTGTATTTGTATTAAGTTGATGAATGTATGTTGGTTTATAATCTTTGGCACTCACAAGTTGTCTCCTGGTGGGTGTGATCAGGAGATATGTTTCTCTGTTCATTGTTAGTACAGTTCAGTTCAGAGTAAATTTGGCTGATGTTGTTTGCTCTGTTGTATAGTAACTGGTACTGGCTCTTGTTCAGTTGGCGGGACTATATAGGGTATGGCTGTAGCTTGGCTGTGTGGCTGCAGTTGCTGCCTCCTTTGTCTCCATAAGCCACAGGTAAGCTTCTGCAACACTAACATGTTTTCTCATCTCTAAAACTGTTCATGAACTCTCAAGATAGCTGCGGCAGGTTCCACCAACTGCCAGTGATCGTTAGTTATCTCTTATCTTGACATAGCTATTCAACTCACTCTCCCAGTAAGCACTTGATCCACTTTTCTATCTCTTCCTCTGGATCTCAGCGTTCCAGGACCATCCAGATGTCTTGTCTGGATTTCCATATCCTTGCTACAGGGAGCCCACACAGCCTTTCTGCCTAGTCTGCCATCGTTCTCCTCCCCCCACCCCATTTAAAAAACTTTTTATTGTGATATGAGTAAAAGTTTACAAAGCAAATTGGTTTTGGATTCAGCAACTCATACACATTTTGTTTTATGACACTGATGACAATCCCCACAATATAGCAGCACTTTCCCCACTTCCTCTCTTTGTTTACCATTTCTATCCATACTTCATTCCTATCCCTTCTGGTCTTCTCAGCTTTCCCCATTTTTCTCTTACTTTATCTAGTATCTTCCAGTGTGATCTCTTTCAGTCCAACAGCAGTGGTAGCTGGGCACCATCTAGTTCGTCTGGTTATGGAGGATGAGGTTATGTGGTCCATTAGTACTTTTGATTTATTTTTGAGCAAAGACAGATCATCTTGACATTAAGTGTTTTAAATATTGTTTTTTTGGGCTAATGAATTCTTTAAAATCCTTAAGAAGGGCAAACTCTGACTTAAATGGTTTGACAGTTGGTATTAAATTTCCTTTTGTTTCTCCATACATTGTGCACTGGCATTAAACAGTGTAGCCATGATAATCTGGGAAAGCAAGAGGGACTTGGTAATTTGGATAATGTGGAAGAGAATATGTGGATAATTCCGATAAATTTAAAAGGATAAAATATAGTGGCAAATGTCATATGCAGGATTTGGCAATAATTTTTATTAGACTAAAGGTGTCTTTTAGATGAGTGAGTAGAAGCTAAGAAATGGAAAAACATTTAGGAAGCTTTATGAGCACGATTCAAGACAAGGCTGGAAGTATAATAGGATGGTGTTAATTAATTGAGTACTGACTAAAGAGTTGGAGTTTATCTTCTAGTGGAAATCCTCAAGTTTTTTGGCTGACATATTCCAGTGTTTTTTAGGAAGGCTGGTTTGTTTTCAGTATATGGAAAAAATTGGGGGGGTTACAGGCGAGGGAATGTTCTTAGAGAAAGTGATTGCTGGGCAATTGTCATAATCCAGGCATGAGTCAGTAAAGGCCAGATAAGGGGAGAAGTAGTGCTGTATGTTCTTTTATATACCCATAGACACAACAATGGAGTCTTGGTGTGCTGCTGTGGGATAAGGCACTGTACTGCAGGGTTGGTTTGAGCCACAAGGTGAGTGGTTCAAACTCACCAGTCGCTCCTTGGAAACCCTATACAGGGTTGTTGTGGGTTGGAACTGACTCCATGGCACTTAACAACAAGATACAACAATGGATTCACACATATCAAAGACCATGAAAATGGTACAGAACCTAGCAACATTTCATTTTGTCATACATAAGTTATCATACGTCGAGCCTGTAAACAGCTTATAAAAGATTTCATTAGATTATAGTAGTGCTGCTAAATGGTGTTAAAATAACTTCATAAGTTTTATCCAGTCCTGTGCAATGGAAACTTTTATAGGGAAATAGTTCTCAGCAATTTATTTAATTTGCAAAAAATGTTTGCAAATTAGGGATTTCACACAGAAGGGTCCATTTAAAGATTTCATCCGTGTTTTCAAAAGTCTGGATGATCAGTAGTATGAGGGATGATTCCTGTCACAAGAGAAATGCTGACAATCTTTTATTCTTGTTTGTTCTAAGAATGAAAATTTTACAAAATGTGTTTTTGAAGTTTATGAGGCCTGGGGTTTTTATATCTTTTCTAGATTCTTCTTTATTAGCCTAAATGACTTGCATTATATAAGGAACTGCCAGAGAATGAATTCTTATCTACCTGACCCATTTCTTTTCTTTCTATAAATATACAGTGGAAGTCTTTGCCAGTTAGATGTAATGTTGAGATTCTCCACTCTTCACAGTTTTAGTTGAGCTTATGTACTTTCATCCTTTATTTCTAAGGTCCATTTCATTTTCTCTTTTCATCCCTTCAGGTTACTAATTCATTTTCTCTTATATATAAGAGATGTTGTTTTGTGATTTTGAAGAAGAAAAAAAAGCACCAAGGTGCTTGATATTAAAGATAATAAAGGATAGAAGTGGAGTGGAAAAAGATGAAAGAAGCAAATTATTTTCACAAGGAGTAGTGTCTGGGTGTGCCAGATAATAGTTATTTTGAGGTATCCCAGGAAAGTAAGTACAAAATTTCATCTATTAGGTTTAAGAGGAGCAGCCTGGCACAGTTCTTATTTTCTTTACACTCAGTTTTATTAAGAGAGATGACTAGGAAATCAGAAAATATTATTTTGACAATTTGCTCATTCTGATTAGCAAAGATTTGGAACTGGGTATGGACCTAGTTAAAACATAAAGTTTTATGTCTTGGCAAATGCTTATAATAATATAATAATGGTTAACTACTGGGGATGCTCATCTATATGGGATTTACTATTGGGCAAAGTTTTAGATGTAAGTATTAACTTCTCTGGCCTACTATAAATTCTGATTAGTACTAAACCATAGTATCCTTGGGTTTCTGTGTTAGAACCAGTGAGACTTTGGAAATTCTTTGGCCCATGAGATCCTTTGAAGACTTGTTGAGTATATTGTAAATTAAGAGTATTAGTATCAGACTTCTTTTATGAAGATCCTATAGACTGTTAAGGCTTAAATATGAACTCATTGGGAGTTCACACTGAACAAATTTATGTTACCTAGTCCTGGTGTGGTGCTGAAGGATAATCACTAGACTGCAAGGTTGACAGTTCAAACCCACCAGTTGCTCAGAAACTCTGTACAGGATTGCTATGAGTTGGAACAGACTTGACAGCGTGTATCAAGACTTTATACTGTCTAAATGTGTTTCATTGAGTATGTATCCCCAAATGTTCTATCTTGGAGCTCAGATGTTTCACATAACCCCATGTGCTGCAGATCTGCCAAGCTTTGAGTTTCCTCTATTTGCCAATCTCTGGTTGTCTTGTATCAGTCCTATTATTGATGACTATAAAGAGAACAAAGAGGAGGAGTAGGTAATTGATTGGGAGGCATAGTGATGGGGACTGGGAATGAGACAGAATTTGGGAACAAAGGAAAAAAGTAATTGAAATAATTCCTTGCCGTTCTCCTCAGTTTTGCTTACTTTATATTTCTGTTTTGATTTGCTTTTTGTTTATCATTGTTTTGTTTTGTTTTGCTTTTTTTTTTTTTTTTTTCCAGAAACTCCATTTCATTTCACTTTGCCTAAAGAAGGTGATATTATTCCACCCTTGACTGGCGTAACCCCACCTCTCATTGGGCACCTTAAATTGGAGCCCAAGAGACACAGTACTCCTATTGGTGAGTGATTATAAAGTAATGATATTTAAGACATAAACTCTGAGATTATCATTCTTTGTGCAAGTGATTATTTTAGATGTGAGGAATTGGGCCTGACTGATAAGGTTGAGTTTTAAGCAGAATAAGCCTGTGGTATCTGATTCTTTGAGTTTAATCGAAGGACATACTGAGAGGTGATGAGGGGAAGGGAAGAAAAGGTAGAGAAAGAGAAGAAAGACTATTTATGAGCATCTTATTATTTGCAAGGAGATAGGCTCTGAATGCTGAACAGGGATGTACAGGATATAAGAACTATTTATTCAGTACATTGGCTAATCAGTCTGCTGCTTGACAGGGCAAGAAAACTTAGATCCTTCTTCCTTGAAGCAGCTCATAGGCTTCTACATTAACCTATTTGTTTTCTCTAGTCAGTGCTGGGAGGTAACAGTCATGCCGTCTCTGGAGTCTCCTGCTACCTATGCCTGATGCTGGCAGATGTGGGTTGGCTGAGGGCTCATGCAGCATCCTTTGTCCAGATGCAGAAGTGGAACTGAATCCTGTTGCTCCTCTTAAGACCAGGTGTCAATACTAGTGCGTAGTTGTTGATACTTGTGACAGGATCTATCCTAGGAACTCCTTTTTGATCCTACAGAGCTGTGGAGTCAAACAGGCAAATTGATGACCTTGCATTGCTGTTTTCATGTTTGTATTTTAGTGTCCTTTCTTTTTTCCTCCTCCTCCCTTTTTTTAGGTATTATTAGCAAGTGTCCAGAAGGCACCATAACAACCAGTGATGTCATGTCTGAAAGCATGGTGGAGACCAATGATGTCATTCTTGGAAGTGAAAAAGGGAATTCTGAGGTTGCTCCTCTGGTGGATGATAAATTATGCCTAAGAATGAAATTGGTCAGTCCTGAAACCGAGGCTAGTGAAGAATCTTTGCAATTTAGCCTGGAAAGTAAGTTTTCTTTTATGTTAATTTTGGGTAATTAGTACCTTTTGATCACCTTGTTGTTGTTGTAAAGTACCGTTGAGTCAGTTCTGACTCATAGGGTTCTAAGGAGTGGTTGGTGGGTTTGAACTGTTGACCTCTTGTGATTCAAACTGACCCTGCAGCCCAGTGCATTATCCTGTAGTGCCACACCAGAACTCTTGGGAAGTGTAAATGATTTTTTTAATAGCTGTAATAGTTGATATTATCATTATTAAAAATATAAAGTTTTATTCTCATAGTTGTAATCTTTTGTTTGTAGCCAATCCCTATCATGTTATTGATGATGCTGCAGTAAGTCTGTGTTGCTGCTTTTAGTTCTGTATTAAACTTGTATCGATGCAAAATAATAATGGAGCCCTGGTAGCACAGTGAACTAAGCATTGGGCTGCTAACCAAAAGGTAAACAAGGAGCTCTACAGAAGAAAGATGAGGTTGTGTGTTTCTGTAAAGATTCACACTCTTGGAAATCCTATGGAGCTGTTCTGTTTTGTTCTGTAGGGTCACCATGAATTGTAATTAACTTGACAGCAGTGGGGTTTGGGTTTTATATGAAATAATTGGTCTCCACATTCAGAAAGAGGGTATAAAATTTATGATTGTGGAATCATTTTACAGATTTATGTTGACTTGGCCACATTAATTGCAAGTAGTCTGGTATGGCTAGAATTCAGAGACAATACAGGGGAGTGGCTGCAAAGTAGGGACAGATTTTGAAAGGCCTTTTACATCATGGTGATGTGCTGAAGTATTTTAGGCAGGAGAGTAGTAGTGTATTCAGATTTGCATTTTTAAAAGGATCCAGCTGGGAAAAAAAAAAAAAAAGGATCCAGCTGAGTGTTTAAAAACTTTACTTTGTGCAGATTTAGTTTTTTCCATGCAGTGCCCATTTCTTATTATCCTGCCTGAAAGTGAGGACAGTGGTAGTGGAAACTAAGATAAGGGGATGGATTTTAGGGGTGACTGGTAGGATCGACAGAACTTTGCAACTATTTGAATATGGATTTAAGGGGGAGGTAAAACTAGAATGCCTCCTTAACATATCTCATTTAATTTGTATAATAGTGCTTCAAAGTGGATGTTCTTATTTCTACTTTATTGATGAGAAAACTTAGAAGACGAGAGGTCTTCTAAGTTAATTTGTTGAAGATCACAATAATTGTAAGAGGCTGAGTTGGAAATTGGATCATATCTGACCTTGAAAGTTTATCATTTTTCTACTCATTTATTGCCTCTACCATCTCAAGTTGATTTCGACTCAGCAACACTTGTGGGGTTTCCAGGGTTGTAAATTTTTTATGGGAACAGAAAGCCTCATTTTTCTCCCACAGAGTGATTTGTAGGTTTGAACTACTGACCTTTCAATTAGCAATCCAGTGCTTATCCTACAGTGCCACACCAAGGTTTGTTAGCCAGTGCTCCTATAACAGAAATTCCACAAGTGTGGGTACCTTTAATGAACAGAAATTTTTATTTTCTCACAGGGAACTCTGGTAGCGTAGTGGTTACAAATTGGGCTACGAACCTCAGGGTCAGCAGTTCGAAACTACCAGCTGTTCCGTGGGAGAAAGATGAGGCTTTCTGCTCCGGTAAAGATTTATAGCCTCGGAAATCCTGTACAGGGTGGCTATGAGTCGGAACCGACTCCACGGCACATAACAACAACAACACAGGGCACTGGCTCTTGGAGAAGGCTTGCTTTCTCTCTGTCGGCTCTGAGGAAAAGATCCTTGGCTCTTTTTAGCTTTTATTCCAAGGTTCCTTGTCCAATCAGGTGGCTTGTATCTTCCCTTTCATTTATGTTTGCTTGCTTAGTCTACTCTTATGTATTAGAAGATACTGACTTAAAACATATCATACACTTAACCCTGTTTCATTAATATAATAAAGAAAACCAATTCTCAGATGAAATTTTTGCTATAAGTATAGGCAAGGGTGGGGACCATCTGGCCTGTGGGCCATATAAGGCCCATGAAATAATTTTGTCTGGCCCTGCCAAGGCAACTGCAATTCCAGTTATCACATTGTTGTTGTTAAGTGCCGTTGAGTCATTTCCAACCCGTAGCAACCACTGATTTTGTGGTTCAAACTGACTGTAGTCCAGAGCATTAACCCAAGGCGCCACACCACGACTTGTTGTTGTTGTTGTTATGTGCCGTGGAGTCGGTTCTGACTTATAGTGACCCTGTACAGGGTTTCCGAGGTTGTAAATCTTTACGGGACCAGAAAGCCTCCTCTTTCTCCCGCGGAACAGCTGGTAGGACTCCTTAGGGGCAAGTTAATTAAATGTTTGGCCAAGTATAGTAGCTAATTTTCAAGGTGATAATTTTGTCTGGCCCACGAATGATGTTATAAATTTTGGCAGATATATTTGGGGGGATTAATTCAATCCATAAGAGCGCTGGTGGTGCTGTAGGATAAGCACTGGACTGCCAACTGACTCGGGCACCTAGCAACAGCCGCAACAATTCAGTCTATAACAGGTAGTTTGCAAATGCTGTTTATGGGACTAAGACAGGAATTACAGTTCATAAAAGTGATTGCAAAACAAAATTCAGAGAGGAGAAGAATCCGGAGGGAGGGTAAGAAGTTATGGAAACCTTTGGGGAAGAGGTTTACAAGAAAAGAAAGATGTCAGATACAGGAGTGAAGGCAAATAAGGTATGTCTGTAAGGTTATTTGAATTAGGCAATTAGGATCCATTTAGTGTCTCAATAGCTATAGCAAGAGTATCATAGTGAAGGTAACTGAAGAGTGATGGGGCAAAAAGGCAGCAAATGTATTCTGGTTTTGTGAAGTGTGGATTAGAAAGAAAGAAAAATATGGTAAGTTAGTGAGAAATGCAGGTTTGAGGGAGGTTTTTTGTTATGCTAGAAGAGATCTGGGCAAGTTTATGGACTGAAAGGAAGAAACCAAAAGAAAAAGGGATGGATTAAAGGTGGAACAGTTGATGACTTAAGACCTACTGTTGTTTTTAAGTGCCGTGGAGTCAGTTCTGACTCTTAGCAACCCTGTATTAGGATTTCCGAGGCTATAAATCTTCATGGTAGCAGAAAGTCTCATATTTCTTCCACAGAGTGGCTGGTGAGCTTGAACTGCCAACCTGTGGTTCAATCCAACTTTGCAGTCCAGCACATTAACCCACAGCACCACACCAGGACTCCATTAAGACCTATATTGTTGTTGTTAAGTGCCGTTGAGTTAGTTCCGACCCATAGCGAAGCTGTATAGGGTTTCCGAGGAGCAGCTGATGCCGATCTTGCAGTTCAAACAGCTTTGCAGTCTGGCGCATTAACCCACAGCACCACACCAGGATAGGAGGTATAAAACAATTGAGAGTTTTGAAGGGTAGTTTAGACAAACATGTAGTTTAGAAAGTTAAAAGGTGAGAGGAGGGGCACTTAATGGTTTAAATTCCAACAGTGAAGTAGAAGGCAAGTCTTTTGCTGTAAGGAAAGCGGTTGGGTGGGAGATTTGCAGAGTAGTAACATGAGGGAATGGAAGAGGTAGCTGACCAGGACCAAGTAGAGGTTGGATGTTTGATGCTCAAAGGCAGTTTAAAGTTAGATTCATGAATTTGAAAGAGTACAAGTCTGCAAAGATGCATTCTTTCAGCAGCCTTATGTAGAATCAGAGGAGGCAAGCTGTGACATGGATCCAGGACTAATACTTGTTTGGTGAAAGTGGTGTAAAGATAGGAGGGCAAGGGATTCAGGGATGAGGGTCAGAACTAGGTTTAGTGATGGACTATGGATCTAGGCTTGTTAAGGAAATAGGCCCTGAAAGGAACTGCTGATGGAGTGGAAGAAAATAGAGGTAGAATGACTTGAATGTTTGAGGATAAACACTGGATTAAGCTAATAGCACGGTGTTGGTGGTGTTGTTTTATGAGGGTAAGTCAAGAAGTATTGCTGCAAGGGTTTGTTCCAAACAAAATGTGTTTATACATGTCTTTTTGATCAGTCTATGGCTACAGACAAGTTCTCTCAGTAATACAGTTGGCTTTGTCTTATTGTTAAGTGCCATTGAGTTGATTCTGACTCATGGCGACCCTGTATAGGGTTTCCAAGGAGTGGTTGATGAGTTTGAACTGCCAACTTGTGGTTCAAACTGACCTTGCAGTCTAGTGCTTTATCCCATACTGCCACACCAATTGCTTTAAATTTAAAAAAGTATACTTTTTGTGCCATGGGAAAAAATAATTTTGAGATTAGTGCTAAAATAAAATTTTAACAAAACTGAAGTAGACATCTTCCCAAATCATTAAAATTTTGCAACAAATTTGTTGTTGCTGTTAAAGCCATCAAGTCAGTTCCAACTCATAGCGACCTTGTATAAGGTTTCCGAGCCTTTAAATCTTTGCAGGAGCAGAAGCTTCATTTTGCAACAATTTTAGGGGAACATAAAACAACAGTTTTTAGATGGGTCAAGCATTTTAAGGGTGGTTGGGAGGACCTCAGAATGAGCTGAGAGAGGGAAGTCCACTAGCCTTGACAAATGAATAAACTCTGTCTGAAGTCTAGAAACTGATGGAAGAAGACCATAGAATTACCATTGATTGAGTAGCTACCGAAGTTGGGCTTTCTCATGGTTCAGCATTGTCAATTTTACACTGTTATCTTAGCCTCAGCAAGCTTTTGGTTGGATAGGTTCCAAAATCATTGCGTGAAGGTCTGTCTGCTAGCTCAAAGAGCTGATCCTTCCCATTATTCTTTTAAAAAAGATCGAAGCTAATAAAGATGATTTTGTGGAACAAATTGTAACTTTGGAAAAGTCTTGGATTTATCAATAAGATCCAAAGATCAAAGTCCAATAAAACAGTGGCATTCAAGGGGAACTACTTGACCAGTTAAAGGCAGAGAGGTCAGACCAGAAGATAATGGTGACTATTTTTTTGGGATTCTAATAGTGTAATCAAACCAACTACATCTCTGGGAAGAGATGACTGGGAAGCTCAGTATCATCAG